ACAGAATATTAAAGGCTGTTAGAGAAAAGAAACAGATCACCTATAAAGGAAAACCCATCAGAATCACAACAGACTTATCAACACAATCAAGTCAAGAACACCTTGGAGTAAAGTGCTTCAAATCCTGAAAGAAAACAACTTCCAACCCAGATTAATGTGGCCTGAAAAACTGTCACACAAAATTAATGGAGAAATAAGATACTTCCATGACAAAGAACAACTGAAAGAATTCATGACCACCAAACAAACCCTACAGAGTACTGAAGGACATTCTAGAGAGAGATGAAAATGACCACAGTCTCAGGAGTGGCAGTAAAGTGGGATCACTGAGTGGGGCAGACTATTGAATGGAGGGGAAAAGCAAAGAGCCAACGGCAGGAAAAAACCATGACAGAGACAAACCAGTGCATGTTGCCCATAACCACTAATGTAGATGGCTTCAATTTCCCAAAAAAAGGAAACACAGGCAGAATGGATCAAGGAACAAGGTCCATCAATATGCAGTATACAAGAAACACATTAACTCAAAAGGAAATTCATAGATTGGAAATCAAAGGAGAGAAAACAATGTTCTGCGTGATAGGGAACCAGAAAAAAACAGGTAGCTTGCCTATCAAGCACAGAATGGAAAAGAAATTTACAGTATTTTTATACAGTGGAAAGTTACTCAGCTATAAAGAAGCATAATCATAAGGCTCTTATAGGCAAATGGATACAGCTAGTAATCGTGCTCTTGGGTAAAATGGCTCATACTTACATAAGTGAGCATCATGCTATCTCCCCCGTGTAAAAAACTGAAGGAGTTAGTGGGATCCAAAAGGTACAATAGATACTGGAGAGTGAAAAGGGAGGAAATGTCTAAAAAGGGAAGGTGATAGCCATTGTTAATTCTCTATTATTTTGTTTTAAAATCCTGTAATGTTTTCATTGTTTTGTTTTGATTGGTTTTATTCTGTTTTGCTTGGTTTCATTTTATTATATATGATGGCTCTTTTGGAGATAATAAGACATATTACAGTAGCTATTGTGTTGATTTTTCTATTATTTTTTTGAAGTCCTGTATCACTTTCACTGTTTTATTTTGATTGGTTTTATTCTGTTTTATTTGATTTGATTTTAATATGTCTGATAGTGTGGACAACTATTTTGACGATAACAGACATTACAGGAGCCATTGTTGATTTCTTATTATCTTGTTTTGAAGTCCTCTATTGCTTTCACTGTTTTGTTTTATTCTTTTAAAATAAAAGGTTAAAAAAAGACACTATACCATGCACATGTAACCATTCCCTAAGAGGACTGTAAGCAAATGAACGGCAAAAATATATAAATAAAATAAAAAGTTGAAACAAAAATGTATACATCAAATCATGAGTAGTTTCCACCACTATTTAAAGTGTTTAAAAAAACATGACTATCCACAATGTACTTAACCAATCCTGTAGCATGATAAACCTAAAGTTTTTCACTTTTAAAATTATTTACATAAACATTCCCTAAAGACAAATCTTGTTTAAAAGCTTGGATTATTTCCTTAATATAAATCCAGGACATGGAATTAATGATTGTCTGAAGTTTACAAAGCTTTTAATACAATTTTGATAAGTTGTTCTTCAGAAAAAATAGTTTACACTTTGTTTAGCATTATATGAAAGTATCCATATCTGCAACAAAATGTACTATGCTCCTTCAAAACATTTGCTAATTTCATACTGGGAAAGTGCTGTATGCTTAAAAATTGCTTTTCTTTGATTACTAGTAAGTTTATAAGTTCTTATGTTCTAGTCCATTTCTGGTTTTGCTGCCTGTGTGTTTCTTGCTTTTACTTTGGGAAGCTCATCTTTTTAAGTATTAAGCATATTTGCATTTTAATCTTGTTCCCTGCAAACTTTTTTGTAGTCTTTGTCTACCTTCATTTTGAAAGAAGTTTTTATCTTTAGATAGATAAAATTTACCAGTCCTTTTTGGTATGTTTGTATTGACACTCTTAAGAGATACAGTTGCTATTATTGGGGGTGCTTTTGTTAGCATTTCTGTGTATTTTCTAAGTGCTGGAGAGCCATGTTTCTGTTTGTACTAAGCAATGAGAAGCTTTCCATTTAGTTTCAGAATCTGTAAAATATTACATAATCTGAGATTTCTTATTCCCCCCTATGTCAGGAAATTATTCAACAACTACATGTCCTGGCATTATTTTTTAAAACAGAATTGACATGTTTAGAATATTATTCTATTGTTATTCATCTGTTGATCTTTGCTAATTTTTTTTTATTTAAAAAAAGAGTAAGATAAAAGAGGACATAACACAGGTCAGAACAGAACAATTTAAGCAACATAGTGTTTCACTACAAGACAATCTGACATAACAGTAGCTACCATAGTGTCTCTTTCCTTGAAATATTTGAGCATACCCTCATAATACTATAGTATCAAACATAAAAAGACAGTGTAAAACCATTCAAGAGAATGAAAGTATTACAGGGTATTCAGAATCAACTAACAGAAAATGAACATCAGTTTCTATAGTATCTCCTTGTCTATAAAACTTTGTTTATACTATCACATATAATAAAATCCAATAAGATACAACATGATAAAAGCAATGGAGACAGAAGAACAAAAGCTTGGTGGGATTTCAAAACAAGATGATATTAAATCATCACTAGCTTTTATAGTGTCTTGTTTTCTTCAAAATAAGCTTTGCTACATATTTTTAAGGAAGTAAATTATCTCTTATATGATACCAATTTTATTGAGATGTAAACTTTTATTGACATAGAATTACATACGCAATTTACACTGAAATACAATGTAGACTTTTAAGAATTATGGTGTGTTTTCCTTATTTATTCTTCTCTTTTTTAAGCTATTTTCGCTCCTGTCTGTCTTAGATTAAACTAGCAGGATGATGTACATTTCATTTACCAAAGAATTAACTTGTTTTTTTGTTCATTTGTTTGTTTTGATACCAGGTATCACACTGATGACCTTGCACTTGTCAAGTAGGTGCTGGGCCACTGAGCTAAATCCCCAACCCTAGCCTGGTCTTCTTTATTAATTTTATTGGCTTTTTATTCAAATATTCTGCTTATAATTTGGGTTTTTTTTCCATTTATATATCAGGGTTTTCTATATGGCCTTGAACATACTAATCCTCCTGTTCCAGCCCTGAGTTCTAGTATTAAAGGCATTTGCTTTCACACTTGACTTTTGTCCATATTTTTATTAATCAATTTTCCTTTCCTTAGTTGTTTTAATAGCTAATAGTAATTATAGGAGAATCTAGGAAATGCAGAGATGATATTTCCTGTAATTACACAGAAGAGAGAAAAACATGTAAGTCAATAAATCACTCAGAGATGCAAGTCCAAAAACCCAGGAAAATGATATGCTTATGAGACAGGAATAAAGAGAATCTGATTCCATACTCAGTGGCTCCAAGTACAGCAAGCATTAAACCATTGTGGACAGAATGGGGCAGGAAGGATATGGCATATGTTAGCTTGTGAGGTATATAAGTGGGTGTCTTCTATACTTTCTCTTATTCTTCAGGCCAGTATGGATAAGGTAAGAGGAATACAGTTAGCTTCCTTCTGGGAAGAGTCCACCTACCTTCCTCTAGAACGTGGCAGAAGAATTTGTGAGAGATTTTCAGTGGAATCTCATTCTCTTCAGATGAAAGTTGACAGATGGTTTCCAACAAGGGCTCTTTGTTCCACATTTCTGCCCACTTAGCAAGCCAGGCTCTGCTAAGCCTCATGAACACTCACAAACTGGCAGCCAATTTTCTGCATTTTGTGAGAGAGGAATCACTGAGGTGACTCACCCAAAGTCACACAACCAGTGTGTATGGCTACATATGGCGCTATAATGCTTGTGTTTTTAGCCATCCTGATCCATTATATTGTACTTTATCAGAGCTCCCCCCATCAATGACCTTTCAAACCCCCAAAGCACTGTATCAGTCTTTAAAAGCTACCTTTGTTGAATAGGGGATCAATGATCCAAAGAAACTTAAAATATTGACCCATTATGTACACATCATTATAGCTCTTTTTAAACAAAATCATTGCTACTGAAAATGAAATTTTCACTGAAAGCGTAACTAATCAGTACATACTTCAGCATGCAGCTCAGTATTTTTATATTACTATCCCCAAAAGAGAATACAGAATATGTGGATGGGGAGGTAGGTCAGTCGAGAAAACAGCTATTACAGTAGAAGAATGATATTACATCCCTAGCAATGTCACATTGCAGCATGCTTAGATACAGAAGTCTTTACTCTGAAGCCCCTTCAAAATGTCATTTTTAAAATAAAAGCTGAAACACTTAAGTGTTAAATCATTTGACTAGATAACACAAATCTGCAAGCTTTATACTTTGAAGCAGTCTCCTCAGAGAATTGTCTGGCCAATATTTTTTCTTTGCCTCTAAGAGAGAAAATAAAGCCGGCAGAAAGTTCCAACTGGATTGAAAGTGATAAAATGTGAATGGGGTCAGAAGCATCAAGGATGTATCACAGCAAACTTTGGGTCAAGCAATTGCTCTCATCTCTGGCTTCCCCCAAGGTTCAATCAGAACAGCAGGAGACGCTAGTCGGGAGACTTCTGTTCCATTCTAATCTGAGTCTTTATATCAATGTTAGCTCTTACAATCAAGATCGCTTCTGAACACACATAATCCGTAGCATATTTTTTAAAAAGCACAGTAGCTATTCTTAACAAGATAGCTAATTGTGCTTGTTGATTTGAAACACGCTTTTTAAAAATTTACGTTTTTCAAAATTCAGATACGAAAAATCAATAGCCACCTATCAAGACAAGATGTATTTTAACGATTTTTTTTTAATACAGAACTCCATTCACTCTCGGCTGAAATAGGACACCACTGATAAATCTGCTAGTAAATGCCCAAGGTGAGAAGAAAAGGGAGAGAAAGCAAACAGGAAATACCCTTTATACCTGACAATAAGGATCCAAGTCTATTTCTGTACTTACAATAGCTGTTGGAGTGGCAGCCAGCACGCAGTAGAGCACCAGAGGGGTGATGAAGCTCTCTTCCTCTGACCCCGGGTATGGCTTCATCAAATCTCCATCCTGACAGAAGAATCCTTGGATATGCACCTGAAAAGTGTCAGTGCACTCGAAGTAGTAGGCAAGCAGCACTGTCCCAGCCATGATGACAAGCTGAAAATACAGCATGGCCACAAAGAGTCATTAGCAGGGCTTTGGAGCAGTGCTGGCCCCTCTGAGCACACTCCATCCATCACCCAGCAATTCTCCTGGCATTGGTATTGGTATTGGTATTGGTATTGGTATTGGTGTTAGCAAGTGTGTGCATGCCTGGTTCAGTATGCTCTCTGCTCTGCAGATGTGTGTTTGCTTATCTTCCTGGTAACATCTGTTATACAACTTTTCCAGCAAATAATACACAGCTTCCATCTGAAAGAGAGAGCATAACCAGGCTTGTAGAGAGAACTAGTTTCTGCTGCTGTGCTCTCAGTGTATGCATGAAAATGAAGGCACTGTTCCCCCTATGACAAAGGTGAAAAGTCACAGGGCAGAGACAGGACAAGGTGTCTACATGTGGATATAAGATGTATTCTAAACAAATTCCATAGCAGGCAGTAAGTCTACCTGATAAAATGTTAGAAGTAGAGAGTCAGGAACAAATGACTGAATAAGTGACTCAAGAATGACCAAACAGTAAAGCTAAAACCTAAAAGGATTAAGAAAAAAATTGCAGAATCACACCCTAAATTACTGGCAGGTGTTTGACATTAATCATGACATTTAACATTTTCCAAAATGGTTTTGCTTTATTCCAAAATGCTTTCCACCAGTAAAAAAGATACTTTACTGATGAACACGGCTTACTATCCTTCATAAGATTTAGACATTTAAAAAAATAAAAACCAATGTGACAAAGCAAAACAGAGTCAGTTAGAACAGGAGGATGGACATAGTATATAATGTAAAAAGAGATTATTAGGTGATCAACAATGGTTACCATTATGCCTCTTGTTATCCTAAAAAGAGTTGCCTATATCAGCTGGTATAAAATAATTGAAGAAAACAGTACAGAACAAGACCAATAAAACCCACATTGGAGATCTTACAGGACTTCCAAAGAAGATAATAGTCAAACCATAATGGGCATCATAGAATATCTGGTTGCCTTTAAAGTGGTTGCCTATACCCTCAAATTTGATACTATTAAACAAAACAGAATATAATAAAATCAGAACAAGATGTGGAGAACAATACAGGGGTTCGAATCAGGTTAATAGGAAAACAAAAAAGTTACTATAATATATCCCGCTATTTTTAATATAGTTTTGCCTTAATTAAAAGACACTAAGAAATAAATTAATTTTTAAAACAAGAAAAAAAAGGAGGGGAGATTGAGATAAAAAAGAACACATCAATAGAACAACACAGGTCAGAACCGAACAACTTAAGCATCATTGTGTTTCACCACCAGATAGCCTGACATTAATAGTAGTTATCCTAGTGTCTCTTTCCTTGAAATATTTGAGTCTAACTTCGTGTATTATAGCGTCAAACTTATCAAGACAGTGTGAAACCATTCAAGAGAATGAAAGTATTGCAGGATATCTAGAACCAGCTAACAGAAACCGAACATCGGTTTCTATACTATCTCTTTGCCTATAAAAATTTTTTCTTATACTATTGCATACATTAAAACATAATAAGATACAACATGTTAAAACCAATGGAAACAGATGGGATCATTGAACAGAACTGTCTGCAATCTCACCGTATTAATGTCCACTTTGTATGCTTTAATTCTGTATTAATGTCCACTTTGTATGCTTTAATTTTGTAATGGGACAACTGTTTCAGAGATGACAATATATGATCTATTAACTAGTGAATTCTTACTGTATATTTTTTCTCTTGAAATTCTGTATTACTTGTAGCCTTTCACTGTTTTGTTTTTCTCTATAAATAAAAAAAGATTTAGACATAAAAAGACACACTTTTATCCTTTTATTTGCATTGGGAATTGTCTAGATATCCACTGAAGTTTAAAATACCATTTTTACAGTCGTGTGGAATGAGTGAGTATAGAAATATAATATTGTTCTTCTTATTTCTATTTGGAAACACCAAGATGTCATCATAGGACATTGATAAAGGTGGACAGAAAATAGACTTTTGAGGCTGTAAAATTATAGAAAGTTAAGACAGTTTCTAGAATTCTGGTCATAGATAAGAAAATTCTTTACTTCACAGAGAAGGAAACTGAGGTTCAATAAGGGAAATCTGCCACAGCTGGACAATCTAACAAGAAATGAAACATGTGCGTAGGCAACACTGGTAAGGTGGGGAGATTAAAATGGAGAAAAATGTTTTTAAATATTGATTTGTTTAAGGATATCAAAGTAATCAGTGTTGGAAATAGTCATTACTTGGAAGAATGTGTTACATTCCTGTGGTTTGACACTGTTTCTGTTTGGCAGTATGTATAAGGCAGTGAGGGGAAACTGTAATCTCCTGGAGGTTTAGGAAGTCAACGTTTTATACCAGGCCTGAAATTACTAACCCAAAGTGACAAGGCTGATTAATGTCAAACCCAGAACTAGAAACTCATTTCTTAATTTCCAGGATAAAACCCTCCTAAAACAACAACAACAAAAAATCTCCTGAAACAGTATTAAAATTGCACCCAATACCCAAGGGTGGAAAGATGTTGGGGGGCGAAGCAGGTCTGCTGCCTAGCAGAAAAGCACTGTTTAACATTCATATCCACTTCCTATACTCCAGCCACTTCACTGGTGCATGGTCTTACACCACTGCCTCTGCTTCTTGAGACAGTACTTTTGCAATTATACCTCACCATAACAGAAAGTATCATTTTCAATAGGGGCTATTTGTATTTATCATGCTCCTCATCATTCCAATTTTTTCCATGCCTTTCATGTTCAGCTCAGCAGCATTTTGTATCTTTCAACTGTAATGCAAACTCCCAGCCATCTGACACAAAGGTCTTTATTTTGTCCGTCTCTATTACCACCTCTCCTTTCAGGCCGTACATCATGCTCCCCATTCACCATTTGTTGTATGTCACTGTTTCTTGCTATGCAAGGGCGATATTCTTCTAGTGTCTGAAAGTTTTGACTCAGGGATTGTGGGGGTTTTTCCATCACAGTGTTAAGAGTGTGCAATCATCTATGGACACTCCAGTGGTGTTTCTCCACGCCTGAGGTAGCTTGCTATCTCAATCATTCAGTTTTGTTTTGCTCATAGCAACAAGGAAGAGACTTGAATTCATATGTTTTCTATAAGATTATGACATAGGTGTGCCATTGTTGCCATTGTTAATAGTACTTTTGCCTATACGTAGCTTCTAAAACCATAGGTACTGTCTTAGTTACTTTTTACTCATTGCTGAGACAAAATACCTCAAGCCCAAGTTGGGAAAGGAAAGGTTTATTTCTTACAGTTTTTGGAGGTTTCAGTCCACACTCAGTTGGCTCCAAGGCAGGCGGGCATGGCTGGGCCACCTTTCATGGTGGCTGCAAACAGCAAGCAGGAACCAGCAAAAATCAAGACACACCTTCTTCCTGCCATTACATCACATCCTGGCTCCACCCCAATGTGGGTGGAGCACTGATACCATCAATCCAAGCACTAGACAATGAACCCCATTCACAAATGCACATTGCAAACTCATGAGGCCTGGGGGACACAGACATAAACCATGACAGGTACAATGTCCCTGTTTCTTTTGTGCATGGTTTGTTAACGGAGTTGGCATTGTGGGAAGGAATCTGATTACTTGACTTGAATGTTTTGGAGAGGAAGCACTGAGATTTCAACAGTTTTGAGTTACTGCTTCTGAAATTGTCTCTGTCCTCCAACAGAACTGAACTGGGAATTTTGTGTATTTTACTCATATCATTGGATTTAATATCACTTAGGAGATATCTGCTTAGAGACACAAAGGATCTATGGGAAATTTTGTATGAAAATAAATCCAAACCAAAAATAGTATATAGTTTCCTCTCTTGAGGAAAAGTATTCTATTTTATTGGGTGCCTTTCTTAAAAAAAGAAAAGAGTGTAAAAATGGACCAAAATAAATGTGCATAGAGAGAAAGGAATACAAAAGTAGTGAATAGAAACTTAGAGCACACTTACAGCATTAAATACATCAAAATCACTAATAAAAACATTAGCAAAAATCACAATAAAAGGCAATATCATTTGCCTAAATTAGAAATCTGTAGAACAAATTTTAATAGCTATCTGATTTAATTCCGGAAGGAGCATTTAGAGAACAATGATGAACTAATGAGTTCACTGCAGCACCTAAGAACACAGAACCCCAGAGACTCAAAGAGCATACAGGTTGTTGGAAAATTATGAAACAGTACTCAGTCACTAGCACAAGTCAACTTGCCTTGATTTTTCCCCTGAGCAGTCAGAATGTATGAAATTTTCAAACAATTCTTAAAACTCCTGGGAGCATCCACATTAATGCCATTTAGAGATCCAAAAGAAGTGAGAATCGAATAATTCAGATGTTGATTTCATCTTATTTCCTACTAAACATTCTTTTGTGACCATATGTTTAAAAGAAGCTCATGCAGTTGCTCCAGGAGCAGATTCAATGCACACTGATTCTGCTTCTAGGAGCAGAGAGGTCCACTCCCCCGCACTGATGGCGCCAACAGCCTTTTGTGTCTCCATTTCTCCTCCCTGTACTAGGGCATGATTTGTCACTGTCTAGATTTGTGACTGGTGCCAGCTGGCACACTTGCCATATCTGCTTCCTCCCCGGCCCCATGCAGGAATGCATGGAGGGAGGCCATCATGTCACTGTCACATTAGCAGATGGTGAGGCAGTGTCAGGTTGAGTACTGGTTAAAGGGTTGAAGACGTCAGTGTGACAGAAGCAGTTATGACCATAGGAGGATACACACCAGGGCCTTTCTTCAGCTGTCACTTCCCCAAAATGATAATCTAATCTAAGAAAATGTGTTAAGTGCTGATCGCTCCACAAGGATTTAGAAGGAAGATGCCAGCGATTTCTGAGACATAGCCTGTCTTGAAGATGAGACCTCAGGCCCCTTAGGCACTCTGCAGATCAGAAAAATAGAAACACCACAAAGAGCAATATTTGTTAAGGTCATAAAGCTCAGCAAAAAAATCTAAAGT